ATAAAATAGCTTATTCTTGTTGCTTCTATTGTCTCGTTCTTAAAAATATATTAAATTTGCCATCTTGCTGTACAACAGGAATCTCCAAACAGTAAAATCCAGTTACTGACTTGTTTCCTCTAATTATTTTGATTTTGACATTTCTGAGCTATCAACATTCATGCACATTCTTCAAACCGGTCACCTGAAATTCAAAATTTGTCTTCATAATCATCAACTCCCATCTGTTTATCTTAATTCCTTAGCTCACAATGCCTGTTGTTCTGAATTTTTAACATTGCTGTCAGACTCACACTGCCCAAAGCCAACCTGTTTCTATCCGTACCTTCTTCTAATCACATCCACGAAATCTGTATCCTCTGTCCACTCACCTGTTCACCATCCTGCTAACATATTTGGTGTCTCCATCACAAAGCAGGCAATCTGTTGTTGTTAAGGCTTTCTCTGTTGCTAGCCTTCATCACCTTCAAGGTGACCGCTCCCTAACCCACCTTCTCATATCAAGTTTCTATTTTTTAATGTCAATGCAAATCTGTATATAAGATCAATAATCACTTGTGGTTTTAGTTACTTAATACCCATCTTAGCTCAACAGTGAACAAGTAATCTGCCCATCTGCTGTAAGCTGATGTTGATTGAATCTAAAGTCCTTAAAGTTTATTGGAGCACACATCTCATCGCTTCACTTTCATTCCGAGATAGTGTGTGTGTGTGTGTGTGTGTGTGTGTGTGTGTGTGTGTGTTGGTGGGTACATTCTTGGCTTGTACTCTTTATAAATCACTTTAAATGATTTTGAGAGTCACATGCATTTCAAGCATCCAGAGCACGTAGGAAGGCCATAGTTCATGCATATTAACAACTGAAACTCTGAGAAACTGACTGGTCAATTCAGAGACAGGACAAACCTTATTTCTCACAGAGTTTTCCCCACATGGTGGCCATATTAACCTTCTTTTTTGGCCCCTCCCCAGTAGTTACCATCTTTCTATCTCTGTAGGTAGATCTGTGTTGTATGTATGCATCAAGTTTATTCCGCTCTGCCTGTGAACTATTAGAGGGTGAAAATTTCTGTTTCACGATGTTTTGTTTTCAAGCATGTAAGCATATAGCAGGACTTAGTTAAACTTAAGTGGAAAAAAGATGAACTACTCATATTATATTTTGCTTTATTATTATTGACATTTATCATACAATGTTACCATCCCAATTTTTATATGGATAAAAATAAATGATATAAAATACATGATGAACTTTGATCATTTTAATCATACACAAAATATGGAACTGTTGAAATTATGTTACATGAGTATTTTACAAAGGAAAAGGGGCTAATAATACATTTGAATGAAATTTATCATTAAATTTTGGATGTTACATGATGTTAAATATAGAAATTCAAAATAATTACTATTTATAACCAACCCAATATTTTACTATTTAAACATGAGAACTGTGTAAATGAGCACTTACAAAAATACTTTAAAGCAAAAGCTATGGTTTATTCATTTACTTGGCAGTTACAAAAATATATATTCATCTGAATCTAATAAATTTGCTTTAGGCATTAGATATTCAAATTCAAATGTTTTCTAAGCATTTCGACAACCTTGGCATTGTATATGATACATATTATTAGAATAGATTTGTGTTATGAATAGTATAATTTTAAGGACACAAATAATAGCACATGGGAACATTGTGAAGAAAGTTTAATTAAACACACCCAATACACCAGACTCACTGGCTGAGCTTTACTATATGAAATGAATCTTCAGAAACTTTTTTTGAATGAATATATGAATGGGTAATACTTATTATTTGCACCTAAAATTGATTGCTTGGTGCTTTTTATTTCCAGTAGAGCTATCATTTGAACAATCAGCAATTTTGTTTTAAATTAGCTATTTCTTGACAGAAAAGCCAAGTATATAGATTTCAAATTAAATATTGTTGTGATTTAGTTTGGATTCTGAATATTCCCCCAAAGGTCCACATATTAAGGGCTCAGTTCCCAAGGTAGTGCCACTAGGAGGTGGTGAAACACTTTGGAGGTAGAAACCAGTGGGATGCACTTAGATCTTTGAAAGCCTGCCTTCGAAAGAGATTGTGGGGCCCAGGTCTCTTCTTATCTTTATTTTCTGCCAAAGAATTGAGCAGTTTTGTTCTGCTGCTCACTTCAACAAGGAACTGCTACCTCAGTACAGACCCAAAGCCACAGGGCGAGGTGGATTGTGGACTAAAATTTCTGAAATTATGAGTCAGAATGAACTTTTTCTCTTTAGAAGTTAATTATCTCAAATGTTTTGTTATAGTAATGGAAAGATGAATCACAAAAATAGCAATCTATCATCAAAAGTGATCAAAAGAAATCCTACCAGGTACACCTACTACATAGGCATTTCTGATGTCTAGAGTATAGACGTTCAATACATTGATAAACACTACTTTTCAAATTTTCATATAAATGAGACATCAGAATCTAATTTTTATAATATATCGTCATAAAAAACTAGTAAATACATAAGAACTTATGCATATGTGCATCTATATATAATTTAGTACACTTAGTAGACTTCAGGAGTCTATCCCAGTGAGAGAAGCAAACCGTCCTGAGTGAAGCAGGTTTTCCATCTAGGTAACAGTAACGAGTGCTAAGGATGCAAAGAGTATACTTTAATAGTCTTCCATGAATGTCAGTCTATGCTTGACAACATGGACCGTAATGTCACTATGAACAGCACATCATTAAAGTAACACAATTTTTCTAAACCAAAGACGAGCCACTGTGATGAGTGTGGACTTGGGAGGATGGAGGCGATATCTGTAAAAGCAATATTCTGGGGCAGTTCTTGGTACAGATGTCTCATGTTTCTCTCACCTGTCTGTCAGAGTAAAGATTTCCTGGGATTCATCACCAAAACTCCAAACACTTAAAAGAACTCCAAACATTTAAAAAGTATGGAATATTTTCCTTAATTAAAACTCAGGTCATCCAAAACTACTTCAAAATATTTTGTCCTAGTACTTACAGAGAAAACTGCCAGTTATTTCAGCAAATTGGCTAAAATATGTATATATATATACATATAAATATGTATGTTAATGAATTACTCAATATAGAAGAGTTATTAAACTAGAGTTTAGCAAAATAATTCACATAAAAACAAGATTTTAAAAATTAAACGTTTCCCAAAATTCAGAAGCGATTCAGTGAGATACTAAAGTTTAATTTTAATACCACTAGTGTGAACTGTCTGAAATTACTTTTAAAGTAAACAAAAAGTACAAATGCCTTAAAGGAACATTACTCATTTGAATTTTTAATATTATGATTTTGTAAAAATACAAGTTAATAAAAATATGTCCACTAAGCAGTATTAAATCAGACCACACAGTAAGAAAGCCACTTGAAGCTTTGCAAGAATAGTATTTTAAATAGAAATGTATTTTTTTAAATAGATCGGGTAAGTTAATGCCTCCAAATCAATAATTATTAATCTGGCCTGTAAAATGTATATGACAGCAGACAAGAATTTGTTTACCTGCTTGAAGCAGCTAGTATTTCCCCCTGGAATTTATTTTTCATTGATTTTCTTGGGTATTAAAGTTATTATCAAGGTCAATTTCATTTCATTTTGAATTAAACTACTCCAAAGTTCAAAGTTTAAATTAATATGTTCAGAACCAGTGCAATTTCAATGTCATATGTACTACAATATCTTAAGAAATTAGTCTCTTTGTTTCAGAGGGAGGGGTTGTTTAGACAGAGACTCACACTGTAATTAAGACAAACCTAGATTTGGTTATATGGCTCAGTCTGGACTTAAACTTGTGGCAATCTTACTGCCTCAGCCTTGTCCCAAGTGCTGGGATTACAGATGTGCACCACCATCTGGGTCTAAAGGACAGCCAAGGTGACTTACTCTAGAGTTCCACACATGCTCAATGAGAGCTTTACCAGAGGCCATATCCTCAGCCCTATCTTCACTTTCAAATGAATGTTCTTGATGCAAGCAGAGTGGCCAGTGAATGCACAGGGAATTTCAACCACCAGAAGAATGTGTTACAGAGAGAGAAAACAGCGTGAGACTTCAGATTGGGATGCTGCTTTACAAGAGAAATTCTGCAGGAGAGATTGAACATTACATATCCAAACTATGTAAAACCAGTACAGAAATTCCTCCTCTCTTTCTGTCTTTTTCTCTAAATGATAATGGAAATAGATATATTTCTAGTCCTCACATTCTTCATACTTTAATAACATTAAATTGTAATATTATAAAATATTAGAAAATTTATATGATATTACACGTGATTCAGAGCCTATGATAAAATCTAAAATTTCTCTATGGGTATACAGGGTCTCTGTCTAAATTCAGAAGTTCGAAGAGCAGTTAGGAGGCTTATTCAGAATAGCATTTCAATAAACACTGGCTATAGAGGAAATTCAACATTTAAGCAAGTGCGTCTTAAAATCCTAAGATCAGTTAAAAGTCCAATGTCATTATCACTGCTCATTCACCTATCAGATGCTTTTACTGTTACCATTGTTTGAAATTACAGCCAAGTTTTATATGATGTACTATTCCAGACTTGCAATATAGATGTAAACCTCTTCAATTATGAATGGCAAAATATCCAGGAAATCCTACAATTTCCATACTTTAAAGGCATAGTACATATTCCCATTCATTGTTTTCAATACGATTTGTATTCAACTGTAGTAAAAGGTAATTGGTAATATTACAGTAGTTCTTATGTTAATAAGGAAAAGTAGCACCATGTATAAAGAAGATAGATGTCTTGGTTCAAAGTTTAGCTCTTCCCGTTTTCCTCAGGTGAACCTGTGCAAGCCCCAGGGCTACTCTTCGGTTTAGCCTGACCGTGAGGTGGGAGTAATAAAAAGGAGCCTTCTCTCTCTGCTGTCACAGAGATATGTGGAGAAGGGACAGCAACATGTGGGCTAAGCAATCAAGGGTGTCACTTGGCACACAATACATCATGTTAGATATGATTTTATTACAATAAAAACTTACAGTGACTGATGTTAATATATAAACACTACCAAAATTCTAAACAGTTAGTAAGTGCTGGGCACACAGGTAGTGTGCTTATTTTTAACTTGAAACACAACGTTGAGCACATTCTGTTATATAAAGAGTAGATCCTTAAAATATATTAATTTATAAATACTATAATTGCAGATAATGTGCCCTATGAGATACAACTAAGCCAAGCTGCTCATGAGGATTGCTGCCAGGGTGGTGATGGAGAACAGTAAGGGCAATAGGATGCCTCCACACCCAGGGAATTGGTGCTACTTTAGTCCTTCACTGAGTTATCAAAATTTCAGCACAGGACAATCAGAAATTACCAGAGCTCCCAGGACTGGATGCTGTTAATAAGAAAGTTAAGGATGTATGTGACATAAATATGTAAGTGTAGATCCTATCTTTATGAATCCAAAACATTACATTTCCCTGGAAACTGATGTTGTTGGTTTCCTTATATATCATTGCACATATGGATTTACTGCAAAAGTCTCAAACGCTCTGTAGCAGATAGCAATTATTACCATAACTAGCAGAATATAGACATTCCTTGCATTTGTAATACGTTTTATAACTCACACAACTGCTACTAAGGAAGGCTTTTAATGATAGTCTGAAGGCCATTGTGAGATTTAGAAAGTAAAACTGAGCACTGGTTTTTCTGAAACTCTAGTTATGGCAAGGATTCCATATTCTTAGTCTATATCTATTTGCATCCTGTGCTGCATAATGATGTTTGGGTAAATGGTGGACAACCTGTAGAAGATGGTTCCATAAGATCATGCCATCTAATGAGATCACAGTCATCTGAAATGTGTAAGTGCACCCTGTGATGCTTGCACAACTACAGTAACACCCAATAGCACAATTTATTCCCAGTCATTAAGCAGTGCACAACCCTAACTCCTAAAATCACATTAATTATGTTTTAAGTATTTTAAAAATAATGTTCTTTAAACATGTTAATGCATTCATGGTGCTGAAAACAGTATTCTATCAATCAACCTAAAAGTAATAAGCATTATGCATAGTTTAGAATGAAGATCGTCTATACCTTGGCTCCATAAATTAAGGTTCCTTCTTAAAAGTCCTCTAAACTAGAATGAATAGAGCTTTATTTTTGTATCTTATACATATACTTTGAAAGAAAAATACTCAGGGTGGTGTATTCTTTTAAGGGTCTGAAATCTCATAGGAAAGCTTCATAAAGTTAGGAGTTTACTCATCTCAGTTCAAGGCTGAGTTTTCAAATAGGCTTGCTTTTCTTTTAATTCACCCCTCTCCCTCTCATCTCCCCAATCTTGGCCATTCTCTACTCATGACCACTGATGGTACAACAGCCAGCACACAAGCCACGGTGACAACCGCCTAGTCCAATGCCTATCGTCGAGACCAAGGACAGCACTTCCTTGCTGGAACTGTCCATGGGCAGACATATCTGAAAACATTAAATGAGGTCTTGTCAAGAACCTCACAGCTTTCTTCTCTACCAAGAATCCCTCAGCATGCCTTCCTGCCTTTCACACTGACACTTCTGTCTGGTGCAGGTGGGAGATGGGACATCGGTATCACTCAGTCTATGCTGTCCTTAACATTTCTGCATGATGGCTTCCATCCTTCTTCAGTGACAGACTTCTTCAAGAAATTCTATCCATTATTACATGTGTCCATTTGAGGATGTTAAAAAACAAATTCAGTATAATTAATGATGGTGAAAAGAAGCAAAATAGACATTTTCCCCCCTATAAATTGTAAAAGTGAGTTTTGCCCTAATAGGGTTCATTTGTGAGGCTGAATTGTCTGAATGAATTTCTATTTCTGGCATAAATATCCAAGTAGAGACCAAAAATTTGTTATTTACAAGCACGGGGAAGGGTTTAAACTATTTAAATATGGACTTCTTTATCTTCAGTGGAGAAGGCTGAAGCAGCAGACGTTTGGTCTTGGGCAGTGCCTGGCAGCTTCCGGAAGCCTGGCTGGCTCTTCGGGAGTCCCCTCACTCTTCTCCAGCTGGGGGAGGTGGTTCGCACAGCTTGTACAGCCTAGAAAAGACACAAGCCAGTGTGACAACCACCTAGTCCATTGCTCTTTCCAGAATGTTTTTCTGATATAACAGATACATTGACAATAACTTCTTGGCTCCACCACCATGATCACATTGATTGTTTCACTGAAAACAGCATTTGAATCAGATGGCTCTAGAATTTTGGACCTGTAGTTTAGAAAATAGGTATGTTTCTTTGTATATGTGAGGCTGCTGGGGATTGAACAACTGGACTTTTTTGTTTGTTTGTTTTAAGTTACAGTTTTGACCAGGTTGTTTACCTTGCTGGTGGCAAAAATCTATTCTCTGAATTCCAAGAACTAGTGTTATTATGATTATTAGCACCTTGCAGTAGGATGGTATTTATCTCATAGGGATCTACAGATTTTCTTAGGAGTTTTACAACTTTACTTCACTTTGTACTCTACCCCTGTGGTGGGTGCGGGAGGTTGACTGTGGATGGGCTAATATGGCACCTTCCTGAGGCTTGAACCTCAAAGGCATAATTAGGCAGTATGTCCTAACCTAATGACTCACTGCTGACTGCAGCCAACCCTCACTCACTAGTCATTTGACCTCCAAGTAAAAAGAATCCACATCACTTATGGAGATGCTGAAGCATGTTCCAGCCAAGGATCTAGTTGTTTGGGGACATATTTTATCAATACACTGCTCAGGAGAATTCACTAGCTTTACACAAGCTGCCTGACTGGTACAAGATAACTCCAGAATCAAAGCAAAAGGGAACAAAATGCTTCCAGAAAATGCCAATGACTGCAAAGGGATTACTTACAGAGCATAGACAGAAAAGAGACTGACTCGTAATGCTTGGATGTTGTACTACATCTGTTATCCTCAAGAACTAGTATTCCTGCAGTGTAGATTAGGCTAGTATCTCAAATAAATAATTAAATTTTGAAATCTGTGTGCGTGTGCATGTGTTTTATTGGGGGTGACTGTGGGTGCTGAGGATTGAACCCAGGGGTTCACACTTGCTAAGCATATGTTTCATCACTGAGCTACACTCCCAGACTCAACACCCAATCTTGCAGCTTTATAAAGAACAATCTAAACCATCAGTAGCTGAGGGTTTACAGAGTAAGTTGAAAAGAATTTGAATGCATGGTTAGCCAATTTAGTAAATTATAAATTTCCTCTCCCTTTGACATATAATCTTATACTGAGTCTAAATCAATGGAGAGAAGTGAGAAAGATTTAATACCAAGTTGTAAATCTGGCTAATAAAATGTACTCTCAGTGTGGAAACACAGAGGTTACTGTCTTTGGCGGCTCACAAAAGGTACTTAATGTCTAGAAGGTGGTTTACTCTCTATGCCTTAACTGCAAAGGAGAAGTGAATACTGAACTGTGACATGTATCTTGCCAAGAAAAGCTTATTTTGTTCTTCCCAGAGAAAAGAACACATTAAATTGAGCTGATGGACTTGAAAGATTCTTTTGCAGCTGAAGGATACAATGCTGCTTCAAATTGCCTTCCCAGGGTTGGAGTAACAGAATCATCAGAAGGTTCTTTTCTTCCTTAATATCCTTCTGTTTACATGACACAAAAGCCAGAGTTCTACCTAGAACAGAGATGGGAGGATGGGTGGCAAATGTCCTGCCCATCACATTCCATTACCTTGCTCTGCACGTTCGTGCGCAATGTGACTAATGCTAATGGGTGGATGAGTCTCGGAAATGTCTGTCTTGCAAATTGGAGCAAAGGCTATTCCCTGTGATCACCTAATGAAATAATAGCTCTGGCTACTGCAAAGCTGGAAAACTTCAGCTTCTGTGAGGCTTCTTGGAAGGAGCTCAGGGTTATCTGAGTTCAGACATGCTTACAATGGAACTTATGGAGCTCTGGGAGTTTAGCACAGGCAGATGAAGTTTGGCAGTGAAATGTCATAGGTAAAGAGTTGGACACTGACTCTGCACTGTGGCTTCTGGCTTTGGCAGCTAAACTGTTGGGAAGTGGGAGGCCTCTGCCAGCCCAGCATGTGGAGCCCTTGCTGTATTCTTAGTCTACTCATGTACACAGTGGCCCTGCATGAAGGAGGCTTGTTCTGGCTCCGTTTTCTTCTTCCTTGTTGGGCTCCTGCAGCCATGATGGAGCTGGTATTTCAGCCCAAAACCAAGTCTGCAGAGAGCAACTTCCAAATTTCATAGTATACATCACGCCCTTCATCTTATGTGTCAAAAACAAACATCATACTAAAGGAGACTACGGAGCAAATGCCTCTATCATGGTTAAACTATCAGGGATAGCGAGTCTCAAGGCAATTCTCCCCATTTTCCTGATAAGATGTCAGAGTCTCAGAGAAAAACACAAACACCTCACTAATTAAGGTTATGTAGAAAGCAGAAGCTTGGACTCAGAATATTTCCCCCCTTTTTAAATCACTGGTGTGTGCTGCCTCTGAATTATACAATGCAAGTCAAGCTTTCACAGTACAGTCCACTCAGATTTGTGATATAACAGTAATAAGGCCAGTGTGTCCCAACTGGTAATCTGACATATGGTTGCTTCTGATTGGTTCTTGGTGAAGAATGGCTTAATGCTTAAAAGAGATGAGGCACTTAGGGAAGTCAGAACCTCCTAAGTTTTCTTCTTCCCATGTGCCTGATTAGTGCCTATCATATACATACACCCGGCTGTCTACTCTGGAAGACAAGGGCTTCTGATGCATCTTGATATCTTAATGCCAAAGGCAGTTCCTGACACACATGTACCTCAGATGTAATGTGCTAAATCAGAATAACAAGGATATCCAGGAACCTCCCTCTCCACCTCCAGGAGTAGGCTTTGCCCTGCCACTACCCAGAACCAATCTAGCTCAAATCATTAAACACAAAAATCAGTTGTGCAATGTACTGATTCCCTAAATTATTATATCCACTCTTTCTGTGGGGCAACCATGGCCACTCTGTCCTTTATTGGTTCTAGAACTGCCACCTCTGTTTTCCTCCAGCTTCTCTTGTTGCTCATCCTCAATCCTGTTGTCTTCTTCCTCTTTTTTTCACAATGAGCACCCCCCTGGTGGATTCAACTCTCCCTATCATCACGGTCATAAAAATCACTTTAGGATCTGACCTAAGTACTCACTACTCATAGGAATGGAGTTTTACCTGCTCTTCTTCCCTCAACTACAGACCTAGAGAGTGAGCAGGCCACAAAGGCATCTCTACATAGCTGTCTCCTTAATCCTCCATCTCACTATGACCAAGTTGAGTTCATCGTCTTTGCCCAGTGTACACTCTTTCCCCTGTATCCACTGTTTCAGAAGCAAGAACTATTAGACCCTTTTGATGGGAACTCAAAGATTTCATGATCATCCTAGAATCTTCCTTTTCACTGACTACTCTTCAGTTAGTATCCAAAGACTATTAGCCATGCCTTCTCAGTATCTCTCTATCTTTTCAACTTATTTCTTGATGCTACCATCATCTCCCTTCATGCCTCTGTCTTCAGTCCTTGCTATTTTTCAATGGACCATTGTATGATTCCCCAAGGTAAACTTTAAAATTTAAAATTTTCAGACGTGGAGATGAGAAATGCCTCTGTGCTTTCTTCAAGTGAAAATGAAAACTCTTCCCTATTTCTCTAGGTACCTTCCTGGTCTTCCATCTGCCTCACCTCCAGCCTCACACTGCGTTATCTTAATCACATCCATCAGTCATAGAGATTGAGGGATTTTTTTACCCTGTTTTTATCAAAGGCCTGCTGCATGATACAGTAGAAAGTCAGTAAAAGTCAGTATGTGTTTGCTGATTGAATTTTTAAGTAAAGAAAACAGATCTTAGGAAAACTATGGTAGAGATGGGTTGGGAGATTGAATCAAATACAATCTCAGGGAGGAACAGCTCATTGGACCCCTGGGAATGAACTTTCCAGAAGCATTGTGGCAGCTTTAATCATGGGTAGCTCAAGTGTAGCCTTCAGCTCAAGGCCTTTGGGGCAAGTGCTGGCTCCTGCCAAGAAGGATCCCAGACCTGTGTGCTCCTCTGTATTCTCTGCACCTCTGCTGACTGCTCTTAAATTCCACCTTCTCTGATGAGTCCCCCACGTGCATACACTGTCTCTCTCTTCTGTCCCTCCCTGCTGGGAATCAACCCCAGGGCCTTGTGTATTCCAGGCCTCCACCACTGACTTAAATCCTCAGCTCCACACCTTATCTCTTTAATGAAAGCTCTTTTAGGACCACACCCACTGTATCCCTCTTCTATTCTCCCTGGGGCACAACAGAGTGCTCCGTATTTCCTCAATAAATATTTGCTGAATGAATGAAACAGCAAAAAAAAAAAAAAAGAAAAAAAGAAAAGAAAAGAAAAGAAAACAACAAAATAAACTTAAATATTTATTTCTCTTTTAAGGTTATTATTCCCTTGTAAAATAGGCCAACTTTAAAGCTCATTTATTTTACTGTGATTCATCTCAAGTGCTTTAAACAGAATCTAATATGAAAAAAATCTGAGTTCAACAGTTTGTTTTCTTGTGTTCAGCTTGTATATTGGATTATTGATCAGGATGCTGAAGTCTTATCCAACCCCACTGTTTATCAGTGTTCATAGGGTCTAGCTTGAAACACCTCTCAAAGTCATTATCTTGTTTTCTTATTGGAATTTTAACACTTCAGTGGGTCTATTATACAAATATACCATGTGTGCTCTAGGCACTGCTGAGAGAATGCTTATGTGAAATGATTCTTTAGCAATAGAAAGTCTTAAGACTCTAATCCAATCAGCTATGAAAGATAACATTAACAAGACTGTTATGGATTAAATAGAGTTAGGAGTCAGCACTAAAAGTAAATGCTGCCTGAACACTATGACTCCATCCATTTCCAGGGTAAAAAATGTTTTTCCTTCAGAAGCACTCTCAAAGCCCATGAACCTTTTCAGAATGAAATAGAACTTCATAAATGCTGCAGTCATCTTTCTCACTCTGGTAATGGTGTTTCACAAAGAAACAAATAAAAAGTGTCTTATCTGGCCGGGCGTGGTCACGCACACCTGTAGTCCCAGCACTTGGGAGGCAGAGGCAGGCGGATCTCTGTGAGTTCAAGGCCAGCCTGGTCTACATAGTGAGTTCCAGGACAGCTGGGGCTACAGGGAGACCCTGTCTCAAAAAGACCCCCCCCAAAAAAGGTGTCTTATCTGTTATGGTTCAGATAGCCACGCCCCCTCACCAACAGGGCCTCAAGGACCTCACAAGCCCCTGAGAAAAGGGAACCCAGTTATTATGCACCCTGATCTTTGAAGTCAAGAGAAGCAGACTTTTCTCCAGTATTTGGCCAATACAGCAGGCTTCCCCTTTGATCTCTAAAGGGGGCAGGTTTTAACAGTGTCATCCTCTTCATCCATCCTGTCTTCCCCCGCCCCCCCACCGCCCCGCAGGCACCTAACTTTAAAAAAATATATATATTTTTAAATGCCTTCTGCACCCCCCAGAAGGTTCCCCTATAAAAGACCCCAGCTCACGACCTGAGCAGACATTTTCCCTGCCCAGAAGGGAATCTGTCCCAGGTGTTCCTTTGTTAATAAATTCTATACTGCTGGAGTTTTAGCTGTGTCCTGGTGATTTCTCCCAATCAACTGGATTCATCCATTGCCTACTCTTACCTATCATTATTCATAATAGCACTTGGAGGAACCTACTTCTTTTTAAAATGCAAATATAGAAAAATAATTAAAGATAAAAGGAATTATTTAACATTGTCCTACTTTAAGATAGATGAGTGCCTACACTAATCACCAGAGAAATCAAATGGAAAACATTCTTCTATGGCTGTTAACTATGTTTATTTATTTTAAAAGTGAATTGGAGTCCTTTCTTATAATGATAGGTGAACTGTGAATATTTGTTACAACCAAAAAAACTAATAATTCATTCATTCACATGGAGTTGAAATCAATTTAGATATTTGAGGTCTACTATGCAAGCACTGTGGCGAGTAAGAAATAAAATAAAATTAAAGCATATTCTTTGTTTTGTGAAACCTCATATGTGGGTTAGCCAGAGAAACTTGTAACAATACATGACAACATAATGTAGTAAGGGGTATCATAAAGCCATGCATAGGATACTAGCAAGGCCAGAGAAAGAGCAACTCAAGCAAGACTCAAAGCAGAAAATGCCATTCAAGCTGGATTCCCTGGGTTAAATAGTTTTCCAATCATGGCAGAGAGAATAACATGGGGCTTGTGAAGGATCAGTGGACAGGACATTTTAGCAATCATGCACACAAATGACAATTTTTAGTTGTATTCATGTGACTTTGGGTTTTGGATTCACAATAAAACCTTATCAAATAAAATAATCTCTACCTAGTGTTGAGTCTTCGTTCACACCTACTCCCATTTGTCCAATGAGTGTTTATGAAGATGATCTCACAATTAGCATGATTATGACACTGGGTGTGTCCTAGGATAGGTGCATTGGCTGTGAGCGTCAGTGCCAGGAAAAATCATCAAGCCCTCAGAAAAGGAGCACACAAGATGGACTTACCTTGGAGCTGATGGAGGGGTCCGATCTCTGACCCCCAAGTTCTTTGCTGTGTTTTGAACTCTTGCACCCTGAAAGTCAGAAAAATCATTTTTATCTCAATAGTATATTAGTAATTAATTGACATGCCATTAAAATTTGAGTTCAGAATCATGATTCTAACAATGTATTTAACAAAAAGAGAGACTAGAAGAGGAATACAAAGATTAATGCTTTAATATTTTGATTTATTTAATTTTATGTGTATGAATGTTTTGCCTGCATGTACCTAAGTGCACCACATGCTTGCAATGCCCAAGGAGGCCAGTAGAGGGCATTATATACCAAGAACAGGAGTTATGGATGGTCGTTAGCTCCACCCATGTGGGTGCTGGGATCTTTACCCCAGGTCTTCTGCAAGAGCATCAAGTGCCCTATATTGCTAAGACATTTCTCCAGCATTTAAGAACCAAAATGCATTATACTTTTTCAAATGATTAATATTTATTTCTGTAGCTATTGGACTCATTCAAAAGTTTAACAACTGTTCGTTCTCACATCTTGTGTCTTTACTCTTAGAAGCAAATAATAATTGAAAATGTTGAAGAGAAGAAATGTACAGACTATAAACACATACTGGATCCAGCCACTTTCATGTGCCACAATTTACGCCTGTTTCTTTTTGCATGGGCAGTTAGTTTTTTTAAAACTTCATAAAATTTAGCAAGAAAATATTTTTCTAGATACTTCTAAAGTGATTTCTAGACAAGCTACATTTGTGTAGATTTATGGAATCTAATATTTTTGTCTCAAAGTTCTTCTGCAATGAAAAGTTCTCTGTGATCTGTGAAGTTCATGAATGAATTTATCAATAGTTGATTTCCTAATGGAAATTAGTTACATAAAACCAAATACAAGTGTTTTTAGCTGAGAACAGAAAATGGAGAGTTGCTTTTAAAAAATCTCTGACATAGTCTGTCATGGTAACACACACTTTTAATCACAGCACTTGGGAGGCAGAAGCAGATGGAATTCTGTGAGATAGCAAATTCAGATTAGCTTGGACTACAGGGAGACCTTGACTGAAAACAAAACTAAACAAAGAAAAAAACTCTGAAATGTTCCAGGCACCCAATACTGCCATAAATAAAGTTAAGAGAGAAAAGAAAGAAGGAAAAAAAAAAAAAAAAAACCAAATCAAAGTCTAGACTTTCTCAAGATGGAACTAATAAATGAATTACAAACACTGTTTTGGGAAAAGCAGTAGACTAAAGTAATTACTAGATAATTCACCAAACTTCCCTTCTTGTTAACATTCACAGCTGATTGAAACCAGGAATTAGCATTAGCACAACACTAATTAATTAGACCATTTCATTCCCTTCCCATCACTTTCCAGGAATGCCCTTTTTCTGTTCTAGGATCCCACGTGCATTTTGTCACCATGCCTCACTCTCCTTTGATGGCTTCACAGGCTCCTCCTTTGATGTCTCAATTTGGATTTGTCTAGTTTATTCTTACCGTTAGGGAGAGGAAATGATTTTTGACAAGAAAAATCACAAAAGCGACACTGGTCCATTCTCTTTATGTCATATCAGGAAATGCCTCCTGTCCTTGTACCTTGTCACCAGTGATATTAACTTGATCAACCAACGTGGCACCTGTCAGACTTTTCTACTGTGAAGTTACCATCCTTCCTTTTGCAGGTTTTACCAAGAAGTTTTGGACTATGAGGCTACTCAAGCACAGTGTCTTCTCTCAGACATCGGCACCCTTCCAGCCCCCATTGGTGATACAACAATTCGGTCACGGAACAGAAAGTTCTATAAAGACTTGTGCATTTCCCCCCAAATCATTTATTCAAGGACACATTTAACTTAACAGGAGCTCATGGAAATAGACTGATTTTATTATTCTATGAGCTACAGTCCAAATCTTTGTTCATTTTTTTCAGTCTAATTGTCCCAGTATTGAATATTGGGAGTTCTTTCTGGTTGTTTCCCTTGATACACCATCATTATGTTTTAGTACTTCTCTCTGTCTAGTCCTTAAAGGCTGATCTTCCTCATCTCAGCTGGCAATTCACCATTTATCCTCATACTGCTCCTTCCTTCCTTCCTTCCTTCCTTCCTTCCTTCCTTCCTTCCTCCCTCCCTCCCTCCCTCCCTCCCTCCTTCCCTTCCTTCCTTCCTTCTTTCCTACCTTCTAAACGATATTTAGAAGCCAAGATCTGATACTGTGTTTGTTTATTACTACTGACAAATAGCCACCTCAAGGCCTTTCCAGTAGGCTTGGCTCATTTACACACATTTTCATTTATTTCTACATCCACCCATCAGTTCATAATGATACCATAAAAGTATCACAAGGTTCATCAGAGACTCCAACCTTCTCTTTTTTCTCGGTTATAACATCTTTCTCAATCAGTGACAATTCATCTTTTCATATTTACACAACCTTTACGCATTTGTTCAATTCTAGTGTGCATACAAGTTGGTTTTAGAATTTGTCTTACCTGTGTCAAAAATAAGTTTAGTCCCTAGAGTACTAGAGTGCAGAATTCTTGTACACCTCTCTTTGTTCGGCTTCATAATATTTCCTTAAGTAATTAACAGACTTCCACTTCCTTAAAATCTGATATTCATCTTAATGAATCATCTATTGGATTATTTGACCTTAAATTTATCTATAGAAATCTCAATCTGCTCAACCTGCCAGTTACTGATAGTCTTTTTAATATTTTATTTATTTTTTATTTTATGTGTATGCATGTATTGCCTGTGTGTAGGTAAGTGTACCGTGTCATGCAATGCCCGTGCAGGACAGAAGAGGCTGTCATATCCCCTGGGACTGGAGTTAGGACAGTTGTTAACCGCCATGTGGGTGCTGGGATTCGAACCCGGGTCTTCTGCAAGAACAACCAGTGTTCTTAACTGCTGAGCCATCTCTCCAGCCCCCATTACTGATAGTCTTACACCAATGTTTATGTTGCTCCTTTCTTCCTAGACCCACTCCTTGACTCCTTTCCCTGTCTGCATTCTCTTTATTCGCCAAGGCTCCAATATTGTATCATCATAGTTCACTAATAACAAATTTCTCATTTATTGTATCAGGCACTGTTTTAAGTGAATTACATATACTGATTTCTTTAATCCTCAACAATACTATCAAGAAAGTGGTATTATTATCCTTGTTCTAACCGTGAGGAAACTAGGGAATAAAGAAGCTATAAAATCTCCCCAAATGAAATACATAATAATAAGGGCAGAAGATGGAATCAAATGGAGGCTGCCCAGTGACTCCAGGCTGCTCTTAGTCACTAATTCACCTTGTGGTAATGCCTTTTTCCACTTATCCTATTTTAGCTAACAAGCTTCACTTACTTTGACTAAGTTCTATCTTGGGAAACTGATACCAAGTTAACAACCCTCAGGTTCTAGTCACTGACAGATTCACAGTCTGCTCACATGCTCTCTGTTTTAGGTACTTTTTTGTTGCTGTGATAAAACATCATGACCAAAGCAATTTATAGAAGAGTTTATTTGCCTTACAATTCCAGGGGGATAAGAGCCCATCATGGTGGGGGAAGGGAGACATGGCAACAGAGGTTTCTGGAGCAGGAAGATGAGCACTCACTTCTTTAAGCACACACAGGAAGCCTAGAGAACGTACTGGATGTGGGACCACACTATTAACCCTCAAAACCCTTCCCCAGTGACACGTTTGTTTACTCCAGTTAGGTCACAAGACTTCCCAAACATTTCTTGACCTCCCCCAGAGAGCACCATCAACTAACCAAGTGTTCAAATACTTGGAGCCTGTGGGGATAGTCTCATTCAAATTACCACACTCTGTCCTGTGTCCTAGGTCCTGAGACTGGGCTCCCATAGAGCACTTGATAGCCAGTGTTTACATCATAGAACTGTGCCTACATATGTCCATCATGAAACTAGACCAGAACTTTCTTATCCTCGTTTCTCTCTTCTTAGTGACAAGTATGATGGGGCTGGCATACTTTGGAATCCCAGTTTTTCTTAGAAAGATCAAGAAGGAAACTTTATATTGGATTCCAGCAAAGAACACATAGAATATGTAACTTACTGCATGGAAAACTTTACAATGTAAAAGTAGGTTTCTCCCTCAAGCCTCTTCATAATCATCTAACTTGGCTGGCTGTGTCAAAATGCTGCATAAGGTTGCTGCCATCATTACCAAGCCTGTATCAGATGTAGTGTCCCTTCCTTCCTTCTCATTTTTTCTTCATATTCAAGTAGTGAGTTTAAACAGCTCATCTATGAAGAGCATATACACCATATGTCCTAAAACAGTGCTGTAATTATGTATATGAACAGTAAATGCTTCCAACCCCCCCCCAAAGAAATGAAAGATCTGTTTATTCATCATATTATTCCTTGCAGAGTGTATAATTTCAATACATAGCAAATAGTTTTATACCTTAATATATAATAATTCAATAGTATGACTAGTATATAATAATAATTCAAATAGTATGACTAGGATGTGGTAGTTGATGTCTGCAATCCCAGTACTTGGAAAGCTGAGGCTGTAAGACTATTACAAGTGAGGTCAGACTGGGCTATGCAGTTAGTTCCAGGCTAGCCTGGGCTTCAGAATGAAACTGTCTTAAAAACTTAAACAGTAACAACAAAATTCAATAATACAGTAATTCAAATACTTCAAAAAACCAAAAATGACGAAAAGTATTTTAACCACTGAGTTCCCCCAAAGTTGAGTTCAAATGGTTGTATATCTCCAATTGAAACTGAAGGAAAAGAGGAAGAGCCATGGTAGAGCTCAGATCGGAGGCTAAGTGGTTACAATCTGGTGGGAAACTGCCCCCACCCCCAGTCATTGATCCACTGCCTGCTACTGCTGAATGTCAGAGAAAAGGTGGGCACAGGAGCCCTGCCAGCTGATTTGTGGGGGGGCAGTCTGCTCAGTTTCCCAAAGAGAGGGTTCCAGGCTCTGCAAACTTTCACAAAGAAGAGATAATCAGGCCTTTAGGGTGCACAACTTGGATCTGAGGAGCCAGCAAAAGAAAGCAAGCTACCTTTTCTTAACTCATTTATTTTAAAAAAATAAGGAGAGTGATAATGCAGAAAAATGTATGCTTTAGAATCTTCCTGACTTTCGGTCTTTCTGACTATATTTTATAAATCATATATTAATACTGTATAATGCACATGTTTTGAAGAGCTTTGTAGCAGTTTAAATGGATCATTAGAGAATATATAATATCAATTTTACTTTATCTGTATTTTCTCTATTTCCATGTTTGGTTTTAGTAGTTGGAGGTACTATTGAGATTGTGTTTACTCAGGTCCATAAGGTAGGAATGTGTGTGGAACCAACTTAGAATAAACTCCTTAGTGGAATTTTCTACAAGAGGTTGACTCCAGTCTCCTATTTCTTACCATAAGTCATAATTTTGAGGCAGTTCTTTCTTGCAACGCCTCCTGTGCAACACAGTAAAACCAAACAGTATTTTGTCCCCCGCTTCTTCATCTCAACCCCAGTCTGTACTTTCACTTGTTTCCTAAAGAATTTGTATATCTACTTCCCCAAGTCCTTCTCAAGCCTCTGGCAATTTGCATCTGTGTTTGCTGTTCGCCACTGGACAACATTATGTCACATTCTTCGAGTGGATCTAACCTTTACTTAGCTAATCCCCGTTTGACCTTCTAAGATGCTCACAGACAACACCCACCCTTGGACTCTTAAGCATGTGTTCTAAGGCATGTGCACTCACTGGTCTGTGGTCTGCACTGCATGTGGCAGCCTGGTGTGGGCCTCTTCAGTCAATTTCTTCATTGGCTGGCTTGACATTCTACAGTGAAATACTGGGAGCAAGCCCCAGGGAACTGACAATGTCTCTGTTTTCCTGAGAGTTGCACAGTGTAATTTCAGCTCCCAGTATCGTGGAAACCAAAAGACAGTCCAAAGTCTGCTATGGAGCCTCTAATGGAAAATTTGAGATGAGCACTTTATCTTCAGGACAATGAGCATACTTCCCATGGCTTGGAAGGCCCTGGGAGATGACAGAAGACAGCAAGGCCTCCAATTCTTCCTCTTCTTCCTAGCTTTTCTCCCCTTCCACTCTGCACCCAGTCTTACTAAACCACCTACAGTTCCCAGAAATTACATAAGTCCATCACCTCGTCTCTTCCAAAAGACCCACCCCACTCTCGTCTCACTGTGTTGCCAGTTCCCTTTATTCCTCCAGGTTGCCGCATGGATCTCCTTTCCAAGGTGTCCAGGACCCCCGGACACCCTTTCTTTAGGGGCCTGCACTGTGCTCTCACTAGGCATACTTTTCATTGACAGCTTACCCGTAGTCATGTGCTTGTAAAAGTGCCCATCACATCCGGGCACCTTTGATATCTGATAAATGAACAAAGGCAAATCCAGGTCTAGGAAAACAACTCCCCTAAAATCGGCATGGGAGACTTACCTGCTTCCTCATCACATCTGTGGCTTGCATAATATACCGAGGAGGTAGGCCATGGCTTCTGGCCAGAATGATGGCTTGCTCCAGTGTCACACTCAGGGTGCACCTGTGGGCCAAGGCAACAGCAAGTCAGTCAGACCCATGATGATCCACTCTGAGTGACTAACTTCCTCAGAAACCAGACAAAATCAAATTACCTATGAATTCAACCCCTGATTTTTCTACATAGAGTACTTGCCTAAAAATAGGCCATAGAGACACATTACTGGGGTCATAAGTTAAAGAATTTAAATTTGAAACAAGCCTATAATGAACTTTGAGTAAAAAAAGAACTTCACCACAGAAAATTAAATAACGATATTCATATAATGAAACTTTCATTAAATTTTTAATCAATAACACATGTAATTTAGAAGAAATAACTTCTATTTATTCACTTTTACATACTGATAGTTAATTGATTTTGGTTTTCTTGAGACAGTCTCATAATGTAGCCCAGACCGGCCTCATGATCCTTTTTCCTCAGGCTCCTCAGGGCCAGGATTACAGATGGTCATGAATTTTTCGAGATCTGTCCAGTATTTTCCTCCATAAATAACAGTAAAAAAAAAAAAATCAAATAATAATGCAGTTACTTCTATGTGGAGACATCTAACTTCTCCTCAGTGTAGAGACTGTAGCCCTGAATCGAATGCATTTGGTGGTTTTTACTGATGAGCTGAGAAAAAGAGAAGGAGCTTTAGGGCATCATTTGTAATATGAGAGACGGGACAACACTGGCTACGCAACTGCACAAAACTGCTCGCTAACCATGCTGAGCCCCACTGCCTGCTGAACGACTTGACAAACAGCCTCCTCACAACCATTGTAGAGAACTGTTCGTGTGCAGGTGGCTGAAGTCGTAACCAGTTTCTAGGTTACAAGTTCACAAGTGCTTAGTGTCTGAGTCCGATAACAATGCTCAGTGTTTTATGAGTTTCTATGCCACTGAAGGTCAACTAGTGTAACAGACAGTTCATGCAAAAAAAAAAAAATCAATTTCCTACAAAGCATTTAATTGCCTGTCTCCTCAATAGACTGCCTTTTTCTCCTCAGTAAGGCCTCCTCTTCTCCATTTTAAAATCTATTGACCCTAACATTTTAATCAATAATGTTCATTACACCAGCTGAATGAGGCCAAAGAAAGAAAAATCTGTTTTTTTTTTTTTTTTCTCTAATCATGAGGCATGTCTGTGCTTTCTTGATAGAGTGTGGCCTGTCTATTCTACTTTGCACAAGCACACTGTGACAGGTTTTTGTCACCAACTTTTCTCTATCTTTTTAAACAGACTTATTCCTCCCATTATCAAGTTGTTGCAAATAACAGCATAATAGCAACTTACTGGCCAGAAACTTAAAAACATTTTAGTACAACTGGGTCATTGATATGCCCCCAAATATGCTGTCAGACAGGGTCATTGAAGTCTCACCTGTTTTTTTAGATAAACTTTCACCACCTGGCTAATCTCGTACTGCTCACCACATAGTTCAGGCTGTTCTAGAATTCACAGCAATCCTCTTGCCTCAGCCTCTCAAGGGCTGGGATTATAGGCATGAGGTATCATGCTTGGGTAAGTTTCGCCTTTCTAGAATAAATTACATTATCATCTAAAGAAATAAATCAACTCTCAAATGGATATGCATGTTTTATTTCTCTAGCATATCCAAAAATTAACTGTGTATAATCTAATGATGTCCTAGGACTGACTAAAGTTTTGTTTTTGTTTTTTCAGTGACATGGTTTTGAAAAAAAAATCTTGTGAACATTGGGAATCCTGCTTGTTGTCAATTCAGGTTACCGGATCTCTCAGAGGACTTGACTTTTCAGGCTCAGATTCCAGAAGTCTATGATCCTAAATGAGGCATTCGAAGGGAAGCCTAGCAATCAGCCTGCAACCAGGCGGGTCATAGACCATTACTTGCCTCCTAGCTCTTTATCTTTCTCAAACTGAATGTCAGGTAGCAAAATTCAATGTTGGAAGAGGCATTTGTTCTGTGTTCTTTGAAAGGCTCTAACTCCTAAAAGCAGCACATGGTCTTTCTGTAGTACATAAAGTCGTACCGAGTCAGGTTTTACAAGGCATCATTTGATTTTTTATGTGCTTTTTATGACCAGAGAGGCTGACCTCGTAACCTTAGGCAAGAAAAATAAAGAAGCATTTGAGAGACCAGGAGCTAAGTAAATCCTAATCAGTATGGTTTCTTGCCTGGCTATATTATCTCCCTTCTAGAATAATCCCTGCTTTCTACAGCACACAGAGTAATTAAAATTTAAATAAATCTGTACTTTGCCACATTTTAGAAAAAAATACGGGCCTTTGGAATTTTGCAGTTCCTTCTAGCTGTTAACATTAGAACAAAATTCAAACAACTCCTTCCTAGGGGTCACAAGACAATAAAACAATGTCACAAAGTAGTGTGTGCCTCTCATAAAAGGCAGATATATACAGTAAAGAAAGTCCTTCCATGTCTTCAATACTAAAATATTTCAAATATAGGTCTTGCTATACTTGTGAGGACATGCACTTGATGGGTGATAAAATTATAGAGAAATTACTAATTTCTCTTAGACAAAGGAGTCAGCATACCTTTACTTATGGCTAATAAATCTTCGTATGTCATATATTAAGAATAGACCCAAATCACTCATATTTCATATAGATTTAAAATGGTAAACATAAACTATGGTTAATGGATCCAATTTAATTTGAAAAATACTTTATGAATTCTTTGTGTGGTGTGTGTGTGTGTGTGTGTGTGTGTGTGTGTGTACATGCATACACACATTTATGTGGAAGTGAAAGTCAACCTTAGACCTTGTTCCTCAGGAGCCATTGACCTTGGTTTTTCAAACAGGGCCTCTCACTGAAACCTGGGCTTGCTGATCAGGATAGATTGACTAGACAATACACCACCCAGCACTGGGATTACAAATTCAGGCCATCATGGATGGGCTTTTTATATGCTTTCTGGGGACTGAACTCAGGTTCTCATACATGTACATTAAGCACTTTACCAACTGAGCTATCTCCCCAGTCACTGATTTAGCAATTCTACGCAAGAAACACAGAGGAGTACTTTTCATTCATTCATTCATTCATTCATTCATTCACTGGACAGCTGTCTTTTGTGTGCCTGTTTTGCATCTACAAGTTCCATTCACAGCAGAACCAAATTTGGTACCAGTTGAAAGGCAACAATTTCAGGACCATTTGCTTTCATTGATCTTTTGTGGGGTTCTAGGAGGGGCCATGGCAGTGTGTTTACACTGTCACATGCTCTCTTTAACAAATTTGTAAAAGTGAAATGTTTTAACTGCAAAACGTTCTGACTGCTGTTTTCTTTAAGCCCCAGCTTCTTCGGTCAGGACATATGGTATTGCATAGTGTTTAAATGGCTGCTGGTTATATCTGGAGCTGAGCTAAAGGAATCAGAGTTAGGATGTATTCGATGGCTTGACTGGGGCCTATTTATACAGTTCATGGTTGCTTCCATTTAGAGCTAAAATATTGTAGCATCCTGATGTAGCAATGACATCCAGGGCATTCCTTCCGCTTTCCCACAGCACTAAGTCATCCCATGTTGAAAAGCAGGTGAAGGGCCAGAGACTGTGGTACAGTATCCACATAGCCTGCTCCTCCTGACTGGAATTGTCTGTGCTCGGGCAAAGGCCGGAAATGTTCAAAACTAGAAGCCATCTGTGAATAATTTCCCAAAGGACATGGTTCATATGCTACAGAACTTCCATAGAGGTTTTTTTTTTAATTTAACAACTTAAAAATTTATAAGCCATTAGCAATAATACATTTCGATATTGAAATGCTTTTCTGAACTATTAGTAATTCAAATTCATTCAGTCATGCTAGAAGCTAGAATAACTTTTCTATTCTCTGCATAAGAAAAATTATATTACAAAATTACAATTTGACAAGGTGGTCAAAGGTAGCGTTATCAAAAATCGTAGGATGAAAGGCTGGAACTGAATCACACAATGGTGTTTTATTCCTAGATTTTCTAATTCTGGCATCCTGAATACATATTAACTTTTATTTCCTGTTTTGTAATTTTCTATTATTTTTCTTAAAGAAGGCTAACCTTAGCTCCAGCTTAGGAGTTCCAGTCACTAGGGGCACACCAGTACACAAAGCCAAGGCCCATGCCTTTTGATAACCTAAGTTAGAGAAATGTTTGTGAAAACAAAAAAGGAAACAAAGAAGCAAATACATAATATCAGGCAAGGGCAGGTTTGCTTGGAGCATGACTTTTGCAGCATCACACTAAGCAGAGTAGTAACAAAAGGAAAGATGGCCAGAGAGGCGTTGTTTGGAGGGAAAGTATTTTAAGACGAGTAAGTGCAAAAGTTTTAAGGTCAGTGTTTATTTTTTCTGCTCACAAAGGAGACTGGAACTCAATATTCTGGTACAGAAAAGGAGAGCTCAATACACTGGCTCACACAGAAAACGCTGGTGTGGTTAAGGAGTATTCTGGCCCCAGACATGCAGAGCCTTGGGGCTAGCCTTTGGGGTTTAGGAGTAAGTAACCTTCCTCTTTATTTTCTGGTTGACATGAAAATAATTTAAATTTCAATACTACATCATATAAATGCTCAATTATTAAAGCAAATTATCAGAATAATTTACTAAGGGTTCAACTATAACAGCTTATCTATTCTGAACCCAAGGCATCACCAGACTCTTAAGACAGTGTTTGCAAAAGCAAGTTCCTGGCCCTGATTTTTTTTTTTCAGATAGTTTCATGTAGACCAGACTGGCCTAGATTTCACTATTTATTCAAAAATGTTCAAAAATGACCTTGAGTTCTTGATGATATGTGCCACTATCCCCAGCAATAAATGTTTTTGGTACTTTTTTGGCAGGGCTAGTGATTGAATCAAAGGTCTTGCACATTCTAGGCAAGTACTCTGCCACTAAGCTACATCCCTAGCCTTCGTTCTGATTTTTAAGGTTCCTTATCACAGCTTCCTGATCCTTCCACCCCATCCTCCCAGTATTCTTCATTTACTCAACCCAGTTCCCATAAACTTCTGATTGCAGTCTATATATCAGT